GTTTTTAAAGCACAAAACTCAGACTCTTTATTTAAATCAGCATAAAAAACATCTTGCACGTGTCCACAGATAAAATAGTTAAAAGCCTCAAAGGATTTATATGCTTTATATACATACTTTCTTTGCTATATAAGCTTTGTGATTCTACTAAAAATGTGTATATATCACCATAACTGACTTCAGGAAACAAACTAACATTGTTTTTCCAAAATTTTTCTTTGATACCATAAGGATCGGGAAGCAAAACATTATTTTCTAATATCAACTTCTTCAAATAAAATTCTTTGTCAGGATTAGCAAGAGAATTGAAGTAAGATGACATTGTTTAGATGAAACTTTATTAAGTAGTCCGAATTAAAATTCTTGTTTGTTTTATATTTTTGCCTACCAACTAACGCGCATGCACTTAAATTGTAAACATTTGCAACTCGTCTATAGTTTGAATGTTTCAGAAATGCGCCTAAGAAAGAAACGCTAAGCTAAACAGTTTAGCTAAGCCTTTTTTAAGTCTTTTTTTTTCAAGTCTTAAAACTATGATAAAAATTAAAAAAACTGAAAAAGAAAACAATTCATCGTGAAAAAGAAAATATATGAGCTTTAAAATAAAACTCAAACTCAAGGGAAAATTTACTTTTGGTTACGTTTTTAATTGTGGTTGAAATAAATTACTTGAAAACTTATCTTTTGAAGTGTTTTATTAAAGTTAGGTAAAACGCTTTTACAAATTACTTCTAATGATTGTTAAATAAATTTTATTTGAATTGTTGTTTAATTAAAAAGTGAAATTAGATTATTGAAATTAAATAAATATAAATAAAAAAATATTTTAAAATTGTATTAAAATTTTTTTTTTTTTGAAAAAGTCGCAAAAAAATTTTTTTTTTTCAATAATAACATTGTCTTTATAAAATAGTAATTTTTAATCATTTAAGTCAATTAAACTTGACTTACTTAAATGATTAAAATGTTTAAAATTTTTAAACATTTTAACCATTTAAGTAAGTCAAGTTTAAAAAAAAAAGCTTAAACAATTCTTTGTAAAAATAGAGACAAAAAAAATAAAGCAATTAAATTTATTGCAACCATTAAATCATTTTATTGCAACGGGAAGATTTTAATTAAACTTATTCATAATTTAAAGTATTTTTAAAAAAGTAATCTTATGAAAAATTTTTAAAAAGACATGAAAAAATAATTTCAAATGTTTTAATTGATCATAAAAACACATGCCTACTAAAAAAATTTACATATTTTTACACAAAATGCGTTTATTTAAATAATCATAATTAGTTTAAAGTCTTCGCGTAAAATAAAAATGTTAATAAAGATCAATGGTTAATTGTTGTTCATAACGTAATGATTTTTTTGTTGTATTTAATTTGTTAAAACATTAAAACAGCCATGGTCAATTTGTAAAGAAAAAAAGTTATTATCGTGGTCAGTTAGAGAGTGCAATCACACGCCATTCCTGTCCAAGCCTATATATAACATATAACTATATCAATAACTATGTTATTCTTTGAAATGAGAGATAATTGATTAAATGCATTTTCTCATAACTTTTTTTTTGTGACTTTTTGAAATAGATCCTTTAATTAAAAAAAACGAAAAATTATAGGCTACCAAAAGGGTTGAATTAAAAAAAAATGAAATGAACATAAAACCAATTTTTGCATACTTTTGAAGCATGATATTAAGGCAAGTCATTTTTCTACCATTTTATTCTTTTTTAGGTCTCGATTAGCTAATACATAATGAAATTAAAATATTAATTAAATTTTGAAGTCCGATATCTAGAAAACAAATAAATGTTTTTCAAAAAAATATTTAAAATCTTTTAATTCAAATAGCAGCAGCATATTAAATAACAATTTGATAAGTTAATCAGCTCTGATTCTTGCAGATTGCTTAATCAAAAACAAAATGTACAATATCTAGATTATTTTCTTATTATTGCAATAATTGTTTGTATTTTTTACATAATCCATAAGTTAACCCCTTAATTTCTTATAAGTATGTTTTTTTTTTTTTTTTTGTATAATACTAGATGAAAATTTATATTAATAAAAAAAAAAAACTTACAATCTTTTCTAATAATATCTTAATATCTTTGCTACATAATGCGGTAGTGGTAGAGCGCTCGCTTGATAAGCAAGTGGTTCCAAGTTCAATCCCCACCACATCCTTGGTAGTACCGCGCTCAACTCGTTTTTCCGTGCAGTGGCCTTGTTCGTCAAGGTTCGTGTTTCAGAGTTATAGAGAGGGTTATATAACCACAAATAAGTAGCCTCCTTGTCTGTAGTGGCCTTCTCGGCCTTGTGGAGGTGAATTAACAAAAAAAAAAAAAAAAAAAAAAAACATAATCCATAAATCAACCCCTTAATTTATCATAAGTATGTTTGTTTTTTTAGGTACTATACTACATGAAAATTTATATTAATAAAAAAAAACTTACAATCTTTGTTTAAAGCAGAAACCAATATCAAAAATGATAAAAAATCAATTTTATGTACTTTTGATATTTAGATGAAACATGATATTTAGACAGACCAAAATGTTTACTTTACCTATTTTATTAATTTCAGTTCTAAAAACTAGTCAATAAACTATAATCAGGTATAATACCCATTGGAACGTAAGTAGTTTGTTTTCAAATTTAAAAATGCCAAGTTTTAATACCATTTGGTCATTTGACTAAGATTTTGGAGGAATCTGGAGTACCAATGAAAATTTTTGGAAATCTGGAGGACCAATGAAAATTTTTTAAAAGTTTTTTGGAAAAAATATTTTAGTATGAATAGTAACAACATATTAAAAATTTATCAGTTTTAGAGGTCACTATTAAAGTTTTGCCTGATTATTGCAGAACGTCGCTCTTAAATAAATTGTTTGTCTTTCAGCTTTTATTTAGTTATTATATTTAGAATTTAATTAAATAAAGCATTTTTCTTTTTCTTATTTTAATCATTTCATTTAATATTTATTTAAAAGATTCTTTTGGCTGTTTTTAATTAATTTAAATAGTAAATAAAATTCTGGTCAGTGCTTTTTTGTGCGCTGGCAGTAAATGGAGAGAACTCCCAGTAAAAGTCAAAAAACTTTCTGTATTAAATATAGTAGAACTTAGTGTTTATGCTGCCTAATAATATAGATAATATGGTAAAAGCTTTTTTGTAGTTACAATAAAATCTTTATTACAGTTTAAAAATGCTGCATCTATTTAATATTTTGATGGTGTTGAATTTAAACTATTCAGTTAGTTACACTTTCAATGAAAGTATTTGTTAAGTTACAATTTTTAACACAGAGTGTTTCATAAGTTGTATGCATATTTTTGATTTAAATTTGCTCCTAATTATCATAATATATTAATCGAAGTCTATACATATATAAGATTTAAATAATAATTTAGATATATTTTAAAATAGTATGACTTTCAATTGAAGAGAGAATTCGAATTGTATTTTTATTTTCCAAGTTTAAGAGTTTTCAAGAGATTAGACGAAAGAAAATCTCAAGATTTTCACGTTTAAAGAAACAGATAGTGTTCACGATTGAAAAAGATCTGACCATCTAATGTAGACTTTTGATCACTTAGACCATGTACAGTACAAGTGCTACAGTATAGATGGTTTAAACAAATTAATGGAGTTTTGTAATGTCATGTAGTCAAAGTTTGAAAAAAAACTCCAACTTCCTAAACAAGATATATATGGTCAGACAAGTGCCAAATCATGTGAAATGGTATTTTAAACCATCATAATTTTTACTATTGAACCTACTCCAATCAGCGCAAATACCTGTGCCCGAATTTAAAAAATGGAATAATGGTGTGTTGTTAAATAATTTCAGGTGGTCTAATTGGTCCAGGTATCCTCCTTGGTACTGGTTTTCTGGCAGTTTTTCTAGGCCCAAGCAGAGCACCTGGTACATTTACATATTTTGAATACTTGGAAAAACTGCCGGGTACCCTATTAGAGCCTGGTACTCATCATCTTTCTATTTTGGGGTTTTTCCTGCGTACCCCAAATATATATATTCTAGGTACCTGGCTCAGAATATTTCAGCAATTTTCTCCAGTACTTGGTATATACAGATGTACCTGGTGTTATCTTAGACCCTGTAAACCAGGACCGAACCAGGTACCCAGCTAGGCATGTTTTGCGACATTGGTTAGGAAGGAGGCATGAACTTCCAATTTAATGCTCATCCGCGGTGCTCTGTGATAAGACTGTAAGGACTTCTTAAGAGCTGTATCCTCATTAGAAGGAAGAGTTGCATAGCCACTACTTAGGCTACGCTAAATAGGCACAAGTAGCGACCCATTAATAGAGTCGAGATCCAGCATTCATCATCCAAGGCAGGAAACAATGTAACACTTTTTTACATCTATGTCTGTCTATATATATATATATATATATATATATATATATATATATATATATATATATATATATATATATATATATATATATATATATATAAATTTGATAAATTTATATAAACTTTTTAAGATTAAAGGTTTAAAATCATTATTTCATAAATCTACTTTAAAATTTAGTAACTCTGTTCTATAAAAAAACTTTGGTGCTGTATTTTTTTTTTTTTTTTAAAAAAGAAATGCTGTTTAATTTATATGAATTAATATTATCTTCTATATAATATAAAAATTTTTACTGTAAACTATAATTCTATTATTGTTAAATACTTTATTTTAATCTTAAACCAAAGTTTTTTGTTTTTTGCACCTCTATTTGTAAGTATATAATATTGTATATAATATATAAAGTATATAATGTTGTAGTTATTTTTCTATATTACTTGTCAAGTGTAACTAATTTTAATTGGTTAAAAAAATGCAGTTATCATAATATTTTACTATATAAAGTCTGGATATATTTTAAAAGCTTTGTTTTTGTAATTTAATCTTTTATAAATATTATGTTTTAAACGTTTAAAAATTTATTAAACTAATATGTACTTTTAAATTTACTTTATAGATTTGAATCCAAGAGATAAAGTGTCAATGTGTCAATGACTTATGACAATGTCATTCTCAATTGGTCTTTTTCTTAATGCTTTATTATTATTATTTTTTTTTTTGTACCAATAATAATGCAATATGACGCTATTTATATCACCCCCTGTTTAATTTTTGAAATAATAGATAAACTTTCATAAGTTATTCATTGTATAGCAATGAATAGAAATTATAAAATAAAGTGTATTTATAGATTATAAAATAAAGTGTATTTTTGTTTTAGCTTTGCCTTCGTTGCACTCCAGAGGGCAAGCATAGAAGTTCTACAGTTAAGTATCCTTGGTAAGGTTTAAATTCTGTGGGAAAAAAGATTTCTTTTTTTTTTCTCGCATAAAAACGCTAGAAAATATTTAAGTCGGATACTACACTACATGAGAAGTTATTAATAAGCTTTATTAAGTTCAGATACTGCACGATGCTACATGAGAAGTTATTAATAAGCCATTATAAGTGTCGGATACTACACGATACTACATAAGAGACTATTAATAAATTTTGTTAAGTGTCGGATACTACATGATACTACGCGATAAAGTAATTATTAGGCTTTGTTAAGTGTCGGATACTACACGATACTACACGATAAAGTGGTTAATAAGCTTTATCGCGTGTCTAATGTGTCGATTACTTAACAATTTAATACGAGAAAGTGATTATAAGGCTTTGTTAAATGTCCGTACTGGACGATTTTACCTAAAAAAGTAATATTCTTTATTAAGTGCCAGATACTACACTTAAAGGTCAATGAATAATTCGTTTGAGTTTACATACTACACGAGAAAGTGATTTTAAGTTTTTTAGAATCGAATCTGATAAGAACAGTACTAAATTTTGATCTTTTTTGCTATTATTCTAAAGTTAGCGATATGTTGAGAGAAAGATTTTTATTTCTGCTCGATACTACATACGATAATTTGATCAAGATGAAACGCTTTCGTTATTCGGAAGTTCTTTATATCTTAATAAAAGAAACTATAATACTTGTTCGTTTTTATTGTCGCTTTACGTTGCATTTTTTTTAAGCGATAGAAATCGTATGTCATGCGGTGAAAACCGTCTTATCGTTTAATATAGAAATCTGACTCTACAAATATGTTTTCAAAAATCAATAAAAAAAGATCGTCTATAAATTACGCAACGCTAAATTTTGTTTTTATAAAAGAAGTAGATCTCATGATCTTTTAGATTTTCATTAAACTTTATGAGCTATTTTGATTTTTTTATTTAACTTAAAGCTTAACGAGGAATAATTCTTTCGATTTTTTGTTTGTTAGTGAAATTTAGCGTTGCGCAATTTATTGACGATCCCAAAACACGATAAATGTACAAATAACTTGATTTTAATAAAAAATTATACTTATCTTGTGTAAGAAATCGTTTTATCTTATACTTTTTTTTTGTTTTTTTTTCGGTCTTTTTAATGGCTTTATTTTTGTCTTTCAACTTTAAATTTAATCAAATTTTTAGAAAGATATTTAAGCACATTTTTTGCTTCAATAATCATTAAAAAAAAATCTAGTATATATTTGATAAGTGTTTACTAGAGAGAGTGGTTATAACTAAGTCTAAAACCGTCTAGCAGCGGTTTTAGGAAAGTTTCGCGAAGGAGCAATTAAATCTTTAAAATAAGCGAAACCAGGTTTTTTTATTTGAATCGATATCCGAGTTTCTAGCTAATAAACGCTAATATATGAGGAGTGGACTCGCAAACCAGATAATTCACTTTAAAAAAAAAAAAAAAAAAGACAGCATTGTTTTTTTGAACATCTTTACAAATAAAAATTAAATTTAAAAGCCACTATTTTAAGGTGGTACTAAAGCTATTATTAAAATGTTAAATAATGTATTAAAAAGTTGCAAATTAGAAGTTTTATATATAAAAAACTAAATTATATAAATTTTGAAATAATTTGTAAATAAAATATTTTTTTTTGCCTCGTTTACCCAAATCTAAAACCACATAAAAAGAAAAATACACAGAACGCAATATCTCAAGATAGGGTTATTTATTTGCTCCAAAACTTTACAACAACATTTTTTTTATTTTAATTCACCTCCTCAAGGCCGAGAAGGCCACTACAGACGAGGAGGCTACTTATTTGTGGCTATAACCCTCTCTCAACTCTATAACTCCGAAACACAAACCTTGACGAACAAGGCCGCTGCGCGGAGAAACGAGTTGATGTAGGAGTTGTACTAGAATCATCTACTGTATGCATATAGTTTAGGAGTAAAGTTTACTCCTGACGAGTTGATGTAGTAGTTGTACTAAAATCATCTACTGTATGCATATAGTTTAGGAGTAAAGTTTACTCCTAAACTATATGCACACAGTAGATGATTCTAGTACAACTCCTACATCATTATGGGACCTATGCTATGGTAAAGTTTTGAAGCAAATAAATAACCCTTGAGATATTGCATTTTGCGTATTTTTCTTCTTATGTGTTTTTAGAGTAGGTAAGCGAGGCAAAAAAAACTTTTATTTACAAATTATTTTAAAATTTGTATATTTTAGTTTTTTACATTTAAAACTTCTAAATTGCAACTTTTTAATACATTACTTAACTTTTTAATACATTATTTAACATTTTAATAATAGCTTTAGTACCACCTTAATAACATTTTACCTGCCTTAAATTAATCAGCCTGTGCAAAACCAGTTGAGAAATTATTGTCGATGCAAAACAAGACAAAAATTTATCTAATCAACATTCTGTTTTAAAAACACTGGAGGACGTTACTTAAGAAAAAAATCACATACAAAAAAAAACTCACTAAAATTATAAAAGCCATATTTAAACAGTTACAGTTGAGTTTTAACTTCATCAATCCTATAAACATATTAAACATTAGAATTACTTATTCTCTAAGGCAAAGGGGCGTTTTGCACCATTATATAAATTATTATTGTAGATATTCTAATATTATTATTAATCTAATATTATAACTAAAATAGTCACTAGTCAAGTTGACTTTATAAAGCATTTTTGAAAACCAGTTAGAAATAAATTTTCGATCAAAACCAGGTAAACAATATTAATTGGCATGCAAAACCAGATAAAACATTTTTTTATTTTGTAATAAAAATAAGATCAAAAGAGCACGATTTTCAAATTTTTGTCTTCAACATTCTTTTAACGACATCTATTCTTTTGCTTTTAATTTTTTAATTTTTAGCTATTTCATTTATTGGAAAACATTTTTTGCCATTATCTCAGAATAAAAAAAAAGTGAACTATCTAGTTTTGCAACTCCACTCCTTATATACAGTGCACAGTTAGGAGTGACTCTGTAACAGGAATTGCGGTTGCTGCAATAATTACCGCAGAAATGTCATACTGGGATAGCGGTAACAGGTGTTAAATATGATCCTTAAAAAACACAAAACACAACCACCTAATGGTGGTTGTATTTTGTTATGATATATACATATATTATTTTGTTATAATATATATTATTATATTAATTGTATTAATATTTGAAGTTATTTCTGCATGGCTTGAAACATATATTTTCTGCATATTCTAAACGAAGATTTGGTAGATACAAGTTTTCCTAACAATATAATTGAACCATGTTTAATTACATTGTTATGTCTTGCGTGTCAATATAAATAAGTTATTAACAAATGGTTAAAAGGCAAGTTATTATTTGGATGTGGTACTAACTGGATTTGGATAATCCAGTTAGGATTATGATATTCGCTTTATAAATGGGGTGGGGAATAAGGCAAACTTGATCCGGATGGAAAATTTTATTTGGGGATGGGGTGGGGACGGAAATGGTTTTTGTTCCCGTGTCATTCTCTCACTTAGAGTGGGCCAAGATTGCCTAAAAATGACAAAACTATTTATGGCTTAATTATAAACATATACAGCTGCGAAAAATAAAATAGCACCAAAATTAGAATTTTTAACTATTTTTGATAGTTTGAAAATCTTTTAAATACATATTTAAAAGTAAATTGGCTTATAATTTTTATAAAAACAAAATATACGAGTTTTAATATAAATATTATTCATTTATTAAATAAAAATTCAAAAAAAAATCAAATAAAACGCGAAAAAATAATAGCACCACAGTTTTAATGTATACTTTAAAATAAGGAAATATTATGAGATCAATTGTTTTAAACATTTTACAATAAATATTAGTAATTTCTTAACACATGAGTATTTTGTTGCGTGACCTTTATTGGGAATGACGGCTGCACAACGTCTTGGCATCGAGTCAACCAAGTCCTGACATCGCTTTAGCGGAATTTCGCACCATGTCTCCTTAACTACGTTCCTAAGTGACTCCTTCGTGGTGGGTTTGGCAGCAGCAACCACCTCCTTTACGTCAGCCCGCAAATTCTCGATTGGGTTAAGATCTGGCGACTGTGCTGACCACTCCATAGCGTTCACTTTATGCTCCTCAAATTAATTTAACGCCTTTTTGCTAGTGTGCCTTGGGTCATTGTTCTGTTGGAATACTCTTTGACAACGTCATTTCATAGTCTGCATACGCAACATTTTATCCAATATATCAACATAAACTTATTGATCCATAATAGTAGTAATGTGATGAATAAGCCCTACTCCGTAATAAAAAAAGCATGCCCATATCATTATACTATAACCTCCATGTTAAATAGTTTTGATGGTATATTTTGGATTGTATTCTGCATTCGGCGGTTTTCTGACATACGCCCGAGACCATAAAGCACAATCTTACTTTCGTCTGCCCATAAAATATTCCTCCATTTTTCGAGTGGCCAATTTGAGTGTTTTTTAGCAAACGCAATACGCTTTACAACATGTTTGGAACTTAGAAGTGGAACTTTTCTGGGGCTACAGGCTATTAATCCATTAATTCGCAGACAACTCCGAACTGTTTGTACTGTTGTATCGATGTTAAAGTCCTTTTTTAGCTCGGTAGCTATTTTAAAAGGTTCCTTTTTAGCTTGTCGGACTAAGCGATTGGCCAGCAATGTTGAAATAGAACGTTTTCGACCACGTGTTTCAGGCTTTTCTTGAAATTTTATGGCATTTTTTTATCATTTTATAGGAACACTCAACTAAATGACCAACTTCTCTATAAGATTTCCCTGCTGATATCAACTTTCGGATCAGTTCTCGTTTTTCTGCACTACAATGCTTTCCGCGTCTCATTTTTATATGTAAATGTCTCCTACTAATACGGACTAACATAAAACGAACAAAACAGCAAAAATTAAACCGAACGCTTGCTCTGTTCACAATTATTTTTATCATTATCAGAATACTTTACAACAGACGAGTGTGTGGTGCTATTTTATTTTTCGGTCAGAATTGGGATTTTGGATTAAAATCGAGCAACATCAAGCAGTTTTTTTTCCAAAATGATTTGTTTTAGAAAATAAACATGTTAGCTAAAATTTTAAACAGCAAAGCTATAAAAATTTTTTATTTTGCATGGTATTTTCTTAACAAAAAGGAAAATACGCATAGTGGTGCTACTTTATTTTTTGCAACTGTACATGTTTATATAGGTTTTTGGGGTCAAGGAATTTATTTCCGGGCTCAATTTTAAGTTAGAAATGGGTATGACCACACAGGTGGTCATGAAATGTCCCTATGGTTTTCAATTAGATAAAATATGTTGCATGTCCTGGGGTGTCCAAATAGTTTTTAAATTAGATGGGACAGTCGTATGTTTAAATATGCAGTCGTCTAAATCTAAATCCAGTCAAAATATCCAGCATAAATAAGCAGCCGTGGCGAAGTAAGCTCACTTACCTCAAAAGCTAGAGATTCGTGGTTCAACTACAATTTTGGGCAAGTTTTATAGCATCGGTAAGGAAGGAGACGTGAACTTTCTTTTAAATGCTCGTCTACGGTGCTTTGTGATAAGACCTCAAGGAATTCTTGGGGCAATTAATGAACTACTTATATAATACTTTTAAATGTATAACATTTTTCGGCAAACTCTTTAGCTTAATTAATAAGTTGATCTGTTTTAAAACCATTTTAACCCAATGGTCACGGGACGCAATAAAGGGGTTTTTTAACATCTTTTGAACGTTCAAAAATCTCTTTTTATTTCCCATGCCCACTGGAACAGAATTTTAAAAAAATATCTGTGACTTATGTTAAATCAAATAATAGATAAGCTGGATTACCAAATAGATAATCTGCTTGTTGATATATGTTACAGCTATATGTAAATATAAGAATAAAAAAGCCTTGTTTTAAAATACGGCAAAAATTCTACTTTAGATATTTATTAATTCAATTCTAATCTAGACATTTAATAAATGTTTCAAAAAATACAACCTAAAAAAATAACTAGGCATTTAATAAATGTTTCAAAAAATACAACCTAAAAAAATAACTATAAACTTACAGTAAATATTGTTTACAAATTTTTCTGAACTTTTTTGCTTGAATTTGCAATTCTTACGACATTTTTAGGAAAATATCATTGGATATACTTTTTTAAAAGCGGATAATTTTAAAAGTTAAGACAATCTCCTACAAAGTAGGTTCTAATCCAGCACTGTATTTATGCAATTTATTTCATTACATAAATTGGATGGGGTTTGCTAGCAGATGGGGGACTGCAAATGCTGGAGAGATGACAATATCCTTGTAGTTTTCTTCTGCAAAATCAAAAAATAAATTGCGCATTAAGAATTTACGCGCTTGTAGTATTTGCTACAACTGCTCCACAATAGCTACACCTTTAAGTAAATATAAATTTTATTAATGGATTTTTATAGCTCTTAAAAATTGCATGTTTTACGGAGCTGTCCATCGTAGTGTTGTCACGGTACTAAATTTTCAGTATTCGGCACCACAATACCAATCAAAATACTCGGTACTCGGCAGCGAATTCTGAACCTAAGTGAAGGACTTTACTTACTTACTTTTGTAGTCAGTTTACCAATTAGTAAGCGTTACTTACTTTTGTAGTCAGTTTACCAATTAGTAAGCGTGCATAATGCGCCACATTATAAATTCGCAATTTTGGCAAAAACTTGTGTGTTTCTAAAAACTTTTTGCATAAAGAATATAAAAATATTTTCTGACTTTCGTTTCGATTTATAGACTCTATAATTTATTAAAATTCTTTTTGAGTTTTTCAATTTCTTTTTTTTGTTTTTTGCATATGTAAATTGCGTAACGAAATTTTTGTTATTTCACTAGTCTTGAAAAAATATTCTTTAAGTTATCTATTATTTAAATATTAAGTATTAGTCTAAATGCCACTTAGGCTAATGACTCTAAAGAGTTAATTTACAATTTGACACTATTATGTACGATTGTATTTACAAAATATACACATTTGTATATAAAGCTTTGAGTCTCTCTTTGAGTCTTAACACAACATCAAATGCATATTATTAATATGCATTTGCCACAGACTCAGTGGCAAATATATAATAACTGCTCTGTGACAAAGCTACACCATAAAACTGAGTGCAATACGTTTTATAGAAGGATAATTTGATAAATACTTTAGAATCAACTAATCTATGTTGTAAATTTGGTAAAATGTTAGCTCAGGCATAAAAAAGGCTAATTTGATTCAAAATAATGATATATACATCCGATGATCAGATGCTGTAAAAGAAATGTAATCTATGCATTTAAAACTGATCACAAAGTTCATGTGACTAGCATTGAGTATAAAGCTAAAAAAAAGAGTAATTACCTGTATACAGTAAGTTATGTAATAAGTAATCAATGACAACAAAGATAAATGGCAATAGTGTGCTGCTTATATCACACACATAATCCAAAATTTATAAACAATAGAACTCTTTTTTGTTTTGTATCATTACTGTTAAAGTCATTTTTTTAAAATCATAGTTCTATGATTGTGTCAATCATAAAACTATGTTCAAAAACTCATTTCATTAAACTTTCTACTTAATTTAGTTAAAAATAACCAACTTATCCAAATTAAGTAGAAAGTTTAATAAAGTGAGTTTATGGACATAGTTCTATGATTAAAAAAATTCTTTGCTTAAATAAAAAAAAAACAATTATAAACAAAGCTTTCAGATGTGTCAAGATTTTGAGATGTGTCATGTTATATCTTAAAGATATAAAATGACAGACAGAAATTTATTCTCTGCTATACCATAAGTTATAGAATTTTGGTTGTTTTTTAACCTAGTTATGGTTAAGTTTATAACATATACTGTTGTTATTTTAAGTGGAAAGTTATCACTAGTTGCGTCCCCTTTCAGTTGTGTTATTATTTAACTATTTTACATTTTTATATCCAGACATTTTTATTTAAAAAATCTTTTGCTTATACATCATTACATAGTATTTTAAAATTATTTATGCAGTATCTTAATGTAAGGTTATATTAGACATGTGTATGTTTCATTACTCCATAAAATATTTCATGCCTTGTCATTTATAACCAATTTATAAAACCCTTGTCTTACAGCTTCAGGTTTATCTTCAACTGAGTTTGACCAGCAACCAAGAAATTTTTTCATTTTTTTATAGTTTAAATAGTTGTTGACATCAGACTGCAAGCGCTTAGCCTACTTGTTTGATACATGTAGTTCGTTTTATCTTTTTGTCATAAAGCTACTGCTAATATTTGAAAAAATACAATCAAAAGTGAAACAGAAACTATTTTAATAATACAATTCTATTTAAACATAAGTTCTGATTAATATCAACTGAAATTTTAATCTACAGTTGTAGGTTACACATTTCCTACTTTATGAGTACATTATTTTTCTTCAATTTTGCTTCTGAAAAATCTAGAAACCATAATGGTCAAGTATTTTTGCAATAAACAACTGATAACAGATTATGAAAATTAAAATGAATGACACAGATCTAAATTAAAAGATAAATATGTCAACTTGAGTATTTAGCTTCTCATTATTCATGGCCTTGCATCGCATGGTTGTCATAACAAATTTACTGAAAAAAAAAAAAGAAAGGTTAAATCTATTTCTGAGCAACAGGCTTTATACAATCACTAGTTCTTTTAACAGAACTTTTGCTTTTAAAACTTGTGCTCTAGAGCATTGAAATAGCAATATAAATCTTTTTTATATTGCTGTCAAAACTTAGTACATCCATTTGAAGATCTTACAATTTTTAAAAAATTATTTTTTGTTTATATTATTTTTATTTACACTGTTATTTTATATTATTTTTAATTATTAAATCTTTAGCATGTAAAATGAGCTTAAGAATATACTCTGGGTTAAAACTGATATCCAAATGTTTATACTCGAATACCAAATGCGGTCATAATTTTTCAGGTAATTTTTATTACACAAAGATATATATATATATATATATATATATATATATATATATATATATATATATATATATATATATATATATATATATATATATATATATGAATAATTTTAAATGTATTTTAAATAGAATTATTGTTCTTAAAAGAATAGAGCAATAATATATTAGGCGAAAATTACTTAATAATTTTTTTTTTCATTTTATAAAGTGTTTCTTATGTAAAGACTCATTAGAAATGATTGATCAAGTTATTAAAACCTCAACTTATACCAAAAATTAAATTACAGGAAGTCATAAAAGTTTAATTTACCATAAATTTTCACACATTTGTGGAATATGCTGACACTATTATAAAAAGAATTCTTTAATCTTAATTCTAGAATTTTTTACTTCTGCTTTTTTTATTATTATATAAAATCCCTCTTTAAAAAAATTATATTAAAAAAAAGGGGGGGGGGTTAATATTTTAAAGAGGTTTTTTCAAATGTAACTATATCTGAAAAAAACTGTATATGAAACTACATCTGGTTAAAATAATGCATTATTATTTAATAATTAATGCATTATTATTTAATGCATTATTATTTAATGCATTATTTATTAATAATCTAGTTATTTAATATAATTGAAAAGATGTAACTTCATCTGTAGAATTCACAGATGTAGTTATTCTTAACATAATTGGAAAGATGTAACTACATCTGTAAAATTTTCAGATGTAGTTGCACAGATGTTGTTATACTTAAATAATTAATTAGATAATTAGATAGATGCAGTAGCGGAACTTCAAATTTTGCCCCCCCCCCCTCAAAACATTTTATAGGCCCCCACCGCAAAGAGATGTTTTTTTACATTTTTGTAATTATTGTTTTTGATCAGTTTGTTGTTGTTTTTATTTTATTTATTTCGATTTTTGGTCAGACGTTACTCTCTAATACAGGATTGAAATGTATCTACATCTGTTAAATTTCCAGATGAAGTTGCGCAGATGTTGTTATACTTAGATAAATGAAAAGATGTAACCTGCAGTAATCATATACTTTTTATACTTTTTATATCAGACATCAATGAAATTTTAGATGTTGTTGGACAGATATTATTATACCTTAGTGTACTTACAGATGTTGTTAGACAGATGTTATTAGACATAGCAAAAACTGATGTTGGTACCCTGACCTATAATACAAGCTACTTCCTTTATACAAATAGTTATAAAATATTTGCCTAAAATTTTGTGAAAAAGTTGTGAATAATATAAGTTATGCAAAAAATAATTAGCATAAGTTTTTCGTAACTTTTGCTCAGCTACGCAAGAGTTATGCCAAAGTTGTAAATCTGCACCCTGCTCCCTAGGGGGGATTTCATGGTGTTTTCACAACCACCCTTGTTTAGAAATTAATACTGATTTTTTATTTAATAAACATTCTTGGTTTGCATGTGTTTCAAATTTTTTTGTATACATATGCCTTTTTTTTGAAATATTATTATATGCAGGTGCTTTAAGGATGGGCAAATTCAATATAAAATCATCAATTTTTTATCTTTCAATCCCCATATATATATTTTGACAGCATGGTGTCTTTTTATTTTTAAAGGATTGTTTATGATAAGTAAAGCGTTTTTTTTCAATCAGCCCCTGTTAAGTCAATATATTGTTTATCAGAGGAAACTTCCTCTTGGAGGAAACAACACATTTATATATTACATTTCTTGATAAACATTTCGAATCATTGGAGAATTGTTTTACAATTACAATTTTCTGTAATTTATTTATTTAGGATTGCTTTTTTGTTTAACAAAGCATTATTATGATCTTTTATAATTTTTTTCACATTTTTATGCAATTAATTTAAATTGTATTTTGATTAAAAATTTTATGTGTTTTTAGAGGGTGGAAAGTGTTTATCCAACAGTTTTAAATGTGAACTTATTGGTTGTTACCAAAGTTTTAAATGTGAACTTATTGGTTGTTACCATCATTATTTTATCCTCTTTATAATGTTCTTCCCATATAAGATTTCTATGAACTCAAATGTTTCTGTATCAAACCATACTGATGTTTTTTTTTTAAACATCTTCGCTTACAACAAGACTGCAAGCAACCACTAATTAGTGTTGGAAGTTACTGGAAGAGAAAAGATAAAGATTGTAGAGTAAGATAACGATTGACAGCTGACTTAAAAGGTTGCAAATTATATGAATCAGAAAAGCCAGATGAAGGAAGCGAATTCCAAAGAACTGATGTTCGAGGAAAAAAACTAGACAAATAAAAGTTTTTGGAGCACTTATGAACAGTAACAAAAAAAGGATGAGACTTAGTTGAATGATAAGTAACGCGAAAGTGAATTTTAGTTGATGGCACAAGAGATGCTAGCTCTTTAGAGCAGTGCCCATTATAATATTTGTAGAAAATACTATAATGGGCACTGCACATTATAGTATTTTACATTACCGTTCATAAATATAGGAAGGTCTAAATTATTGCGATAACAGTTGGCTGAAAAAAACTGAGTTTTATCTGAATTAAAGTTCACCAGCCACTGTGAGCCCCATGCTGTAGCAGAAGTGAGATCCTTTTCGAGCTCAAATGTCCCTTCCAAGCAATCAGAGAGAGTTGGCTTCTTATCATGACAAGAATAAATGGTAGTATCATCAGCGAATAATGCCACCTTAGATGTGAGAATATCTGGAAGATCGTTAATATAAATTAAAAAGAGTATAGGGCCAAGGATTGAACCTTGAGGAAGCCCTGAGGTTACAGAATAAGAAATAGAGTGCTGTCCATCAAGGACAACTTTTATACTATGATTGGAAAGGAAGGATTCAATAATCTTAAAGATGTTTCCAGATACACCATAATTAATAGCTTATGGAGAAGACCAGCATGCCAAACTTTATCAAATGCTTTAGAAATGTCAAGAGCAATGGCTTTAACCTCGTCACCTTTATCTAATGCAAGATAAAACCTATCGATTATTACTGTTAGCAAATCAGTTGTAGAACGAGAAGATCAAAATCCATATTGATGATTAGAAAGTAAGTTATTAGATTCAAGATGAGAGATTAAGTGTTAATTAAAGATTTAAAAACCTTGCTTATGATAGGAAGAAGACTAATGCGACTGTAGTTAGACAAATCAAATAGCTCTCCAGAATTTTTAAAAATAGGGATAACAGATGCTGCTTTTCAGGAGGTGAATGTGGAGAAACTGAGCACTGACTAGAATCAGAAACAAGACATAAGTCGAGTAGTGAAGATAAATGATTCGGGTTGTCTGGAAAGCGAGTTGGAAAGTTGACTATTTGAGTTAGGGATTGAGAACAGTGGCGTGGTGGCTGTAAAAGGCCTATGCGGGATTTTGTAAAAAAAGCCTATATATGCAGGATTTTACCATATATGATGAATGAAAAGGCCCATACATGCCCGGCACTTGTCTGGTAAGAATGATATCTATCTGTCATTTTGACCGACCCATATTTTATGTGCATTTATTTTATAATTATTTTAGTTGTTTCAAAATCATTAATAAATTTTAGGAGTGAATATAAACTTCATTTTTTGAACTTTTTATTTTTATACAAATCAGAAAATGAAGCTACGTTAATAACATACGTCATTTTTTTGAGCTGATTCATTTTTTAAAAAACGCCTAAGCATTAAACTTTTTTTTTAATCAAACAGACTGGTTTTTATCATTTATATTAAAACGTTGCAATTAATTATTATTTTAAATTTATATTTCAGTATTTGTTTTATTTTTTGTCTGATGGTTTTCATAAATTTTAATCTAATATTTTAGCTTTTGAACCTTTTAAATTTGTTTTATAAAAACTTTAACATAATAGTTTATTAATACTTATAGAAACCAGTGTTGTTTATTACACTATTAAATTTGAATTACGTTACATTAAGTTTAAATTACGTTAAGTTTGCTTTATAAATATACGCTTTCGCGCAAAAGTTTTTCCCTATTAAAAGTGTTTATAAAAGAAATGGAGAAAGTTTAAAGACATTAAAAAATGCATTATACATTTTTTAGGATATTATACGTAATTATATTTATATAAAAGTAGTTATAATATTCTTTGATAAGTTAAAGAAAATGGGTTTATTGTAAGCAACCATTAAAATTAATTTGCTACTTTATTTAATAAAGTAAACATAATTATTTATGTATTTATAATAAATTACAAAGCATTTTGCATGGTATGGTATTGTTTAAAAAACAATACCATAGAGTGAAGTGATGCTAAACGAAAGCACTTAAAATAGTAGTCTGTGATTCAAACCTAGTTTCCTGACAAATGGGTGAATTCTTACGAATGTAAATGCCCAGGCCAAGCATGTGACTATTGGAGTCTTTACGAGTTAAAAGAAGATAACCATCAATACTAAAATCACACGATGAGACAGCTGAACTCAGATTAGTCTCACAAAGAGCAAGTAGGTCTGGTGAACTTTGCAAGAGATAAGACTTAACAGAAGAAAAGTTACTTCGAAGACCATCAATGTTAATGAATGATAGGTTTAGCGAACTTGGTGATAAAAGTGGTTTTTAGTGTTTTGTAGTTTTTTTTACTTTATTAATTTTCAAATTTGTTAAAGAACTTGACTCGAAACATAGATAGTACTCAGTACACTGTTTATTAGCCCAAACAATTGCCTCATTACTATTGATAAATGTAGCTAAAAAGGTTTGACCAGAGGCATTGTAATATCTCTTAACTTAGTTTATTGGTTTGCTTTGTAAAAAAGTATATAATTAAGGTTATATTTTTTGTTTTTTTTCTTTAACTTGAATTTATTTTAAAACTTGTGTAAGAAATAATACAAAAACTAATACTTTTTATGTTATTTATAAGATTTCTATTCTTTTTGAAGAAGCTAAAAGGTTAGAAAATATTATTTATAGTTGAAATAAGTTCTGAAGTTTTCAAAACATTTTTTACTTTTTTTTTTAACAAAGTTGGTATATATACAGGGGCTATTCTAGGAAATTAATTTGGGTGGGGTACCCCCTGTGCCAAACTGGCCATAAAGAAATTTCCTGTATGTAGGCACCCAAATATGGTCAATGCTGTCAAATACAGTCTAGAAAGCCTCTGATATATAAATTAAAACTTGAAGTAAATATACAATAAACAACAATAATTTTTGGTCAGTTTTGTTTCCTTAAAATGTAATTGCTTAAAAACAAATTCAAAAATATTACTGTAAAATATAAATGAATCTCCCATTCCTTCCCTTTTCCCATTCCAAACTTTTGTATGTTGGCCCTCTCTTTCCTTTCTATTAAAAGTTTTTTGTTTATTTTTTAAATATTTTTTTTTCAAATAATTTAAAAAGATAATCATTTTTTTTTTAGCAATAGGTGAGTTATGCGACTATATAAGGAAACCATCATATTGGGTTAGCAAAAGATACTATGTCATAG